GCCGCACTTGCACGCTAAATAAATAATAATGCGAGCCTTGAATTAATTCCGAAGAAATGTCAAACTAAAAATAAGTTTTGTCCGCACTGCGAACATCCTGGGTACGAACTTTCATTTAAATCGGCCGAAAGCTTCAGGGAAACGACATTTATCAACCGTTATCTAAAAGGAATCTAATTTCAGACAAACAATGCAGTTCTACGTCACCTAGTTCGATAAACGATGAATGTAATCAAAATTTTAACTCATAAATTGAAATTTTCTAGCTTCAAGGTGTAATAACACGGCTTGCGTTGGTGGCGCTAATCTGCATAAAGATTCACCCTAATCACTAGTAATTAATCTTATTGCAACTTGTAAGTGTCTGCCAATTATTTTAATAATATTAAATTTTAATGCCGGACTACAAATCTTTGCGTAATTGAATGATAAATTGCACCACTAGAATGCAAATTTTGCACCTTCTCTCGCAATTAATGCCTTGTTAGGAAGCTACAACCGATATTTTTTTGTTTGACAAACAAAACATGTAAATTCTCATTTAATTATTTCTTCAGTCAATGAAAAAATGTCCAATTTTTATCTCCACTCAGGAACAATTTAGAATTTTTTGCTTTATTTTTAAAGGGAAATCATACAAATCAAAAGTCCATTTTACTTTCTAACTCATAAAAATCGCTAATTTATTCTGACTAATTTATAAGGTAGGAAAGCTTAAAGTTGAAAAAATAAATATCCAAATGCTTGTTGGAAGTTTGAAAAAGTCAAAAAATTAAATGTTCTCCTTAATTTTACACAACAAAGCTAGAATAAATATTATTTACAAAAGGCCTCAAGTGACAGTACTTTGCGTAAAAATTTAAATGTTTTTTTTGACAATCTTATTCTGTTATATTTAGAATTTCATTTCATACAGTATTTTTTCACAATTTTAAAAAAAAAAATTGATAACTGACAAAAACTTTTATTCACAATCACTAATGTAAAATGTCGATTATTAACCTTTTAAAGGTTGGGAAACACATCATTAAATCTCCTGAGGAGTAATAATATTACTTCTCTTGGGCAGTAATATGCAAGATAGCCCCACCTTAAAATTACAAAAATACCGGAATTTTTTTTTTTAGATTGTCAAGTTACGCATAATATTTTGCTAAATTGGTATTCAATTGCTTTTGTAGCAGTTTCTCTTACTTCTGGGGGAGTACACTGCTCAATTTCGACGATTTTAGTTCAGATTCACACATTATTTCAATATTTTCTTTGACATTTCAGATACGTCAAAAATCAAACGCCATTTAGATGGCTACCACGTTTGAACCTTAACTTTGTTCGAATTTTACTCAAATTTTTGACTGATTGTAAATAAAATAACATGCAAACCTCGGTGGTAATGACATTACCCCGAATACTTATGTATACGATCGAGAGGCGCGAGCCATATTTACCACCTCGCTTGTAATGTACTATTTCTTTTATTTTGGTATAAATCAAAAAAACTTGAGAAGTAAAAAATCGTTTTTTCAAATTCAAATTTTCTTTATTTCATCTTTTAGACATTTACATGTACAGACAAGTCAAAAAATGTATAACAATCACAATAAATAAACAATTACAACGAAGACAAAAACTCATATAATAACAATCGAGATCTAATAAATTCATTATTAATTTGTTAAATTAATAAAGATTTAGATTTATAAGTGAATTGTAGAATGTGAAGTATGCACAAAGCAGAAACAGACAAAATTTTTAGGTCAGCAAAGATCCTTCTGCAGGAGGTCTGCTGGGATCAACCATATACCTAAGTACAGTTGCGGAATTAAAATTTCGGGCAGTATTGTCATTTTCACAATGTAAACTCTAAAACAAGCTTTACATTAATAACCTCATTTTTTACTCTTGTCATGTTTATGTCATTTTGATTTAAAAATAGCGTCACTGACAAAAAAGTTTAATTGTCAAATGTCAGTCATGATGACAGTACAGTGAACTTTTTGAAGTGACAGAAAAATACTGTCCGAAATTTTAATTCCGTAACTGTAACTTTTTTGGGTTTTGAAAACTGTATCAGCTTTTGATGATCTGCCCCAGAAACAAATCATACGTATATACAGGTTCCTGTTTACAAGCTATAAATCAATATTATTTTGAGATTTGTACAATTTTGGGTATATTTATAGGTATTTTTTATACTACAGGTGCCCCGAAAAAAATCAATTAAGATAAGATACTAGGAATATGGAAAAAATGCTTAAAAACTCTATTTGTCAAAAATTTTTGACATTTGACATTTTTTATGTCTATTTAATGTTACTGATGATCTTGTATGTTTTTTCAAAATTAAATTAGCAAAGGCTTAGGAAATTTGAAAGATGAGATTTGCAGTTGAGATTTTTCCTGGTGACCGAGTGGAATAATTGCCATTTGAGGGCACTTAGAGTGCGGAATCACGTCGTGTAATGGTGTAACTATCTGAAGTATTTATTGAATTGGATGCGGTACAAGTGGAGTAATGTTTCAATACGTTGGTAATATTTATGTAAATTGTCAGGTCGTTTTATCTGGAGTTCCTAAACTGCACATTATGATGACGCCTGTCCATCAAAGATAACCCCGAAAGGGCTCTTAAATACTCGAGATAAGCCAAAACCAAATTAAATCAACCCGGGGTGGTTTACCTTTACAATTCTATCTCGAAAAATCGGTGAAAAACGAGACGCACGAATGACAGCAATCAACTGATAAACTCAGGAAAAAATGCCATTTACATATAGTAGGGGATACGAGGACCACTGGAAAAGTCGAAAAATGCGCTCGAACAAGTGTTGGTATAAAAAAGAATCAATACGATATGAAACAATAGAAGTTTTAAACATGTCAAAGGAAGCACACAATGTAATCTAGCAGCGATGATTTATATTATAGATAGGAAATATGAAGGGCGGGATGGAACACAGCTATTCCTTACACTTTTATTTCTCCATTTACGTGTATTTTTAGAAGCAGTATTTCAATCGAAACGAAACGAAATAATAATACACCTAGTGTGAATTATAGACACCTATTTTACAAGAACGTACTTGTTGGGATAGTATCAACGAAATCTTTTTGTGCAACAAGATCTTGTCGCTATCATCTTGAGTTAAGACAACTTGTAGGCACAAAGTACGGAATTTACATTCGCTGTAATAAAATTAAATTATGTTAGTGGGAATATGTAGTACCATTTTATTGCTTGCGATTTTTCCAAATTCGATGACTTATACCCGTATCAGTTTTTACGGCTAACTGAAACATCACTCTGACTATAATTACACAATCTACTTACCTGCAAAATCAGGCAAGTGCCCCAAGGCTTGTGGTAAGCAGACTCCGACCAGACAGTGCTCGATGATTCCTCAACCTTCACTTCATGTTCTCTCCAACTAACATACAATCGTCACCTACGGAAAACTGTCAGTTTGTTAAATCATGTTATCAGAAGAATACAACATGAACGCCTCTCAATTACTTTGCTCGCACTTAAAATGATATGTTTATAAACAATTGCCCGATTATTTGGCAAAAGCAAATCGATGATGGAGAGAAAGGTCACTTGGACTAATTAATTCTGAAAGACAATTAGTGCGCGAATTCGTCGAACCGCTTTTGCACATGACCACACTCACGTACTCTTGTCATAAATTTTAAATAAATTCGAACTACTTCTGACGTCAGCAATAAAAACTACTCCAAAACTAAATCGGGCATGTTTATGGTCAGTCAAACTCTTATCTAAATCCTTTCTTCTTGATTAAACCACACAAACCTAAATTGTGACCTTGTCAAGGGAAAATTTCTAAATTTAAATTTTTGTGCCAATTTTGCATTTACAGCCCTCTCTACTGACGAGTAGCCGAACTAAAGCCGATTTGTCATCAAGTAAACTCCAATTATCAGCTGATATCTGAAAAAATGGCCAGCATTTGCAAGATCCTTCAAAATTCGCTGACTCGAAGAAAGCCAAGTTTTTGTAAGTTCTTCCACAGTGTTAGCCCCAAGGCACGACCCAGCCGGTTCGTCTCTGTTCTGTGTGCTGTTGGCGGAACTGTTGCCTTATACACGGCGTATAAATGTCGCCAACCTCACAGCATACAAGCCGCCCAGTTGAAAGTAAGTTTGGCAAAATTGCTCAGTACCCACAATTCTGCTTTTGGCGCCAGTTTTTGAACGGCGTGAAGTATACTTTTACATTTAATTTGTACCTTATGATAATTTTTTATTTTGGACTGGGCGTCCTCACCTCTTGAAATTAGTTTGACGGCCATAAATTACCCAGTCGGGTGATAAATGGTTTTGTAGTTGTCACTATAATCCCCACTTATTTATATGGTCTTGTGTTAATTTCCTTTCGGAAGGTAAATGGACTAAGATAATGGATGAAGATGTTGTCAATGATGTCTTAATCGGGCTAATTAGTCAAAATTAAAAATTGTTCAGCTGGTGTATGAAAATATGGGCCATATGTGCCCACAGCAGCTGTTTTAACAATTTCCTCGCCCTTTGAGGTGATACAGGCTTGGAACATTCCACTTGTCATTCGTATATGATAAACTTTACACCTTCTGATGGAACTTTAGACTAAGCTTCTTATCTTTGCCGGCATCTAAAGCACATTCTTCGGTGGCTGCCGCTACAACAAATCCCCAATGGTTAAATTGACCCTATAAAAACCGAGATCATACATAAAATTTGATAAAATCGACGATTTTCCCGACTATTAGTCCAAATATTGCAACAAAAGAGCGACGTCGCCCCCTGATGGGAGTTAATAAATAATCGTGTGTTATTGCCCGCTTGTGTGGCCAGTTCACTGACTGGGGTTGGTTTTAGCCCTCTAGCTCGTTAGAAACCATAAACTAGACGGATTCACCCACATTCATTAGGTGGCTTTTGTGCGTCTAGTTTACATAACACTCCCTTCCGGACGATAATAACTCGTTTTTTATTACCACCAGGAGGAGGAATCAAAAGTTGTCAAATTAACATCACGGGAAAAGAGATTTATCCGATTTGCTTCAGTCGAATACGATGGACAACTATACATGACCCCGCAGGATTTCCTAGAGTCAGTTGTGGAAGCTGAACCCCGACGTAAGCCCCCCAACTCGATTATTTTAACCCCAATTAAGTAATGAATTACAGCCCGTTTGAAACGCAAAATATTGACAACGAAGGAACTCGAGAAAATCAAAGACTCAACTCCGCCACTAAACCAAGGCTCGCCGAGGTTTTTCCGAACTTTGCGCGACAAAGGAATCATTTCATACACCGAGTATTTATTTCTCCTTTCAGTTTTAACAAGTGTGTTAACAAGTATTAAAACAATTCAATTTTTGATTATTGATTTTTAGAACCACAATCGGGCTTCCGAATTGCCTTTAACATGTTTGACACCGACGGTAATGAAAGAGTCGACAAGAATGAATTTCTCGTGGTAAGTATCCACTAAACTAGCCCCCCGTTTTGCGTGAAATAAGAGTTGAATTATTGTGACAGATTCGTAGACTATTGGCAGGCAAAAAAACTGAAGATGCTGTACCTGTAAGTGGAAACGTGTGAGCTGATTTGTCGTCTGATAGCTACTAAACTCCCTAACTTTGTTCTAACAGTAGATAATGTGTGTTGTTTGCGTGTTTGTCTTTTAAAGATGGAGAAAATCTTCAGCCATGCGTGGAAAGGGAAACGGGGGATTGCGAGTGAAGACACCGAACTTGTGCTCCCCATTCAAGAGCAGTACGTTGATGATGAGCAAGGACTCCAGCGGCGACATACCGTCGACACGACCCTCATCGTACATTTTTTCGGCTCTAAAGGCAACAACGAACTCAACTTCGAGAACTTCAAACAATTCATGCTTCATCTACAAACCGAAGTTCTCGAATTGGAGTTCAGCGAGTTTTCTAAAGGGCTCCCGACTATCTCCGAAGTTGATTTTGCGAAAATTATGCTACGTTACACTTATTTAGACACTGATGAGTACGACATGTACCTAGACCGTCTCCTTGACAGAATTAAAGAAACCAAAGGGATTTCCTTCGAGGAGTTTAATGTTTTTTGCCAATTCCTCAACAACTTGGAAGACTTTACTATCGCAATGAGAATGTATACCTTAGCCGATCACCCGATATCCAAAGGTTTGACTCCACGATTTAAACGAAATTGTTACATTCAATTTTTAGATGAGTTTCACCGTGCTGTGAAAATCTGCACTGGTACTAGTCTAAGCCCCCATCTAGTCCACACAGTATTTGCAATTTTCGACGTCGATGGAGACGGACTTTTGAGTTACCGCGAATTTATCGCAATTATGAAAGATCGTCTGCATCGTGGTTTCAAAGTAACGTATCCTTTTTCATATTGTCGAAGTCTAAATGCATCTTTAATTTAAAGGCCGGTTCACACACAAAGTGTCATTAATGTCATTCAGAACAAATTTAATCACATCAATAATGAATGATTGCCACTCTATGTTAATTATAATTATTTTTTTCTAATTTGCGTTTATAATATGTTTATTAACGTCTCTCAGTAGGAGTCGTTTATGGCTATCTATAAAAGCACACTGTACTTTAATGAATTTGGGGTTATTTAGTTCTTGTATGCCGCTTCTGACTTGTCAGGTAACAAATTTTGCGTTGTTTTGCTTCGACAATTTCGCGAATTTCGGGCGGAGTGCAAACTAAATTCTGTTGGCTCATTTTTAATTTATTATTATTATGTTGTAACACTAATAACTAATAATTTGTAAATTTTATTTTTAATGACAGACGGCAGAAATGATTCAAAAAATCAAGTAGGCGCTGAGTGTAACCAACCGATACCAACTATCACAAAATTCTCTAGACGACAAAAATATATATATTTTTTTAATTAAAATAAGAAAAAAGGTGGCGCAAATTAGAACAAATAGCAACACTTATAAAACTTGTTCTTTAATATACTATTGTGCTACCTCAAAAACTGGGGTACACGTATTTGAGAAAATAATTTTTAGGTATTGTATGAATTTTTGCATGGTTGCCACCTTAAAATGATCCATTTCAACGACTACTTCGATGCACAAAATTGTCTAACATTAACTCTTTTTTAGTCATACACCAAGAATGAAGGTTGGGAAGCGTTTAAAAGTTGCATCAAGCAGGAAATGAAAAATCCGACATAAAAACAAAGTATTTATTTGTGATAATCGCATTGTAACATTTTAGTATTGCCATCTAGTCACACGGGCAAAAAATTTGTTTTTTGTTATGTTCCTATCATCGGACTGTTTTGTTACTCCAGTATTGTTTGAGTTACCAAATAGAATTACTCAATTGAGTCTTGTTTTTTATTTAAACGTGGTGGAAAATCTAAATGGATGTCTAGAACGTCTAAAGCGATTATGTCGACGTAACCCCCGATTATTTCACTTAATGAAGGTTTAGTTCTTCCAAGATCTCCATGGACGAATTCTTTGACGTAAGTACCGGCTTGGGTCACCACATCTAACTCAAATAAGTTATCAGCACCTGAAAACAATTTTTTTGATTTTGATAATGATGAGTTAAAGTCACCTGTGACTGATCTTGCTTCAATACTGTAAATCTCTCTCGCCCTGATGTCAGATGATCGTCTGTGGTACACCCTGAGTGGTGTTTTCTGTTGCAATTTGAGACTTCTCAACTTGTTGATTTTTTCAATATAATCACTGATTTTGTCAGACTTGTCGACAACACACAACGCCCTATATGTCTTTTGTTTAAACTGCTCGCCTTCTTTGATGTTATTAACCAATTTGCGTGAAATAAACTGCAAGTCTCTGACTTTGATTAAATTTGTTTTTTCAATTTGTTTCTCGATTGAACGGAACTGTTCAAATGATATTTTAGTAACTTTAGGGTCGCATATTTTTATGAAGAAGGGACGCCCTCTTCCTAACATTCTAACATCGAAGTCTTCACGTCCACTTGATGAAAATACTAAACTGCTACATCTGGAAATGCACAATTATGGAAAATTATTGAATGAAACAGGACAACCCACTTAAAAACGTTTTCTAGTGATTCAAATAAAATTTCCTGCACTGAACTGTTAATTACTTGAACTTCGTCATTGGCCCAAGGTGTTTGAAAGAGATTCCGTGAAAATTTACAGTATCTCCCTGCTATAAAAATAAAATCGTGCTTATAAGTCATTTGGTCGAAACTTAAAGCTTTCCGTGGTATTTCAGGTGGGACTGAAGCATGTTTTTTGAAAAGTTCGGTGTTTATTGTTTTTAAAAATTCACCAATTACGTTTCTACTAAGCCCCTCGTTCTCTTCATTGTTTTTTTTTAGTTTGCTTTCCATCAGAAACATAATTGATGATTCCTAATTGAATTTATTATTTTTTGTAACAAAAACGATGAATATTACCTCTTTCTCGAATTCGTAACTTGTGTTAAACTGGATTTGAAGTAACGAATCTTTGTTGAACTTTTTACCAAGCTTTTCGCCCAATTTGTTTTGTATTGATAAGGACCATGCCCTGTTTATGGGGACAATGTAATGATCTAAAACTCAAAAATAATTAAAAACCCCAAAACAAACTAAATGGAACCTTCAAAAAACTTGGGAAACTTCTCATTCATGTAAATTTCCATGCTGTGTTCCCTTATTAAAACAGCAATCGGAAAACTAATAAAGTTAATAAAAGTCTTGCAGTCATATTCTTTGACTTTTTCCAATTCTTGACACTGAATCATTGATTCAAGAGTCACATCTTGGAGTAAATCTAGACAGATGATACAAGGATTTAATTTTGTTTTTTTAGCCCCCTGGTCGTGTCCATTTTGCTGAAAAAAAAAAAAACATTAAAAAAATTAATTAAAAATCACTTTTTTACCTGAGGATTGTCATAATCGGCACCAGCATCGCCAATATAACGTAACGCACACCTTTTGCAACAACCTGTCTCCAATAAAAAATTCAAAACAGCGTTTTTATCCGTTTCAGTCATTTTCAAATGTGGTTGTAAAAAGTGAGGTTAAGTGCCATCGGTTATGCAACCAATTAAACACAAAAAAATTTACAAAAAGTGTTTCGGTTTTCGGTAGTGATAATAATAAAAAAATCGGTAAAAAACGTGTTTTTTTATCATACAGCATAAACAGTCGTGTTTCATAAAGATTAAAATTGACAGAGATAAGAATGTGACGTGAGTGAAAACGTAATTACTTTTTCCCTAATTGTTAAATTCCTCGCGAAAAAAAGTTTAAGGGTTTAAAATCGTGGTAAAAACACACACGGGGTGAATAATTTTCATTAGAAAGTTAAGTGTGTGAAATTTCTAATTACAGCAGAAGTGTAGATTTCTGTAATTAGTCGCCTTCAAGTTTGACATTTGCCATGTTGATGGAAGTTGTTAAACGTCAAGTCCTATAAAAAGTAAATAAGTTATTTGATATTTAATTAAAATGAATCGTAGTGAAGGGTTGGTGCAAAGACGAAACATAATACGTGACACAGGTGAAGGTGTTAATAAAGAATCGCAAAGCAATGAGAAGAAGCAAGAACACGATGAAGACATAGACGAGGGCGATTCTAAAGAAACCCGATTAACTTTAATGGAAGAAGTATTATTATTAGGCTTAAAAGATAAAGAAGTAGGGTTGTACCCCCGTGTCACTCTCTGAAATAATTGCTGTTTTTAAGGGTTACACATCGTTTTGGAATGATTGCATTTCAAGCGGTCTCCGGGGCTGTATTCTAATAGAGTTAGGTTTACGTGGACGCGTTGAACTCGAGCGTGCAGGTATGCGTCGAAAGGCGCTTCTGACGCGCAAACTTATCCTTAAAAACGACACCCCCACTGGCGATGTTCTCCTAGACGAAGCTTTAAAACATCTCAAGGAAACAGATCCACCAGAAACGGTTCAAAGTTGGATCGAATACCTCAGCGGTATGCCCAAAACACACCCTTCAACTTGCATAACTGTTTGTCTTTAGGTGAAACCTGGAACCCCCTCAAACTACGATACCAATTGAAGAATGTCCGTGAGCGTTTAGCGAAAAACCTCGTCGAGAAAGGAGTCCTAACAACGGAGAAGCAAAACTTCCTGCTTTTTGATATGACCACTCACCCTCTCACTGATAATGTTACCAAAAGTCGTTTAATAAAAAAGGTATAAAAGGTGGAAGAGATTCTGGTTTATTATTTTTTTTAATTTGTTTTAACAGATTCAAGATGCCGTACTTACGAAATGGGTGAACGACCCCCAACGCATGGATAAGAGGATGTTAGCGTTGATTTTCCTCGCCCATGCTAGTGACGTTTTAGAGAACGCCTTCGCCCCCCTAAATGACGATGATTACGAATTGGCAATAAAACGAGTAAGAGAGTTACTTGACTTGGACTTTGAGCAAGAATCAGTCAAACCAAACACTTCGGAGGTTCTGTGGGCCGTTTTTGCAGCTTTCACGAAATGAAAATAAACTGTTTTTGCTACTAAATTTTAACTAGAAATAAATTACGTTGAAATATTGAAAGTTATCAGTTTTGTATTTAATGTGATGTTAGTTTGTACATTGGAAATTTTTTCTATGTGGAGTACACAAGGGTAGACTAGGAATAATCAACACAGGACACGATGTACTCCAACTTTTATTTGTACATAACTTGGAACTAAATGTATTGTTCATGTATGTCAAATATTACCCAACTATTATTATTGTTTTATAATATTAGCCTTAATTTGTATTAAAATATTCCCATTTTCTTTATAAAAATAAACTATCAATATTTATAACCATGAGTTTTATTTTAACTTTTGTTATCACAAAAAAATAATTACAAATGCATGCAAACAATCAAACATAAAAGTACTACAATGAAATTTTATTATCCAAGTGGGTGTTGAGATAGTTCACATTCATAGAATTATTATCAACTTCCGGTGCATCGTTATCTTAGGAGAAACAATCGCATTTAAAATTGTTTCACTTGAAACAAAGAGTTGATTGGTAGGTAATGACCGCCCATGAAGAAATGTTTAGCTGTCGCCTCATTGGTCATGTTTAGCCAATCAAACGTCGAATTTTTATGCACCATCTTTTGTTTTTTGCACGACTAGGCAACCAATAATTATCGATCAATGACTTTCATTGCTATCTAACCATCTTTCCGACACCGTAACACCAATATCCTGCTTAATTAGAAATTCGGTTCCCAGAAAATAAAATTGAACACTTCCTTTGAAAAAATCGGCTATTTCCACTTAATTAGTGAGATTTACGGGTGCCTATTTAATTGATTGTTTTGCACTCACGGAAAACTACTTTGAATTAAAAATGGACAAGATTAGTTCTAGTTGAGGCCGAACGTTCACTTTATTACTCTTTGTTCGGATTTTTCGCAAGATTTTACTTGCAAATTCCGGATTATAATGAAATTAGTTTGCGAATATTTAATCAATTATCACCCACACCGAATTTTAAAGGTGAATGCTAACAGATGGTAGCGGAAAGGTTGGAGACACAAGACATTGAAACCAGTTACATCGGATGTTGAGGAAATGAGTCCACATTTCTTTTCCAATTTTTTATTGGCAACTAATCAAATCTGGTATAACTGGACTAATTACCGGGTGATGTTAACGGTTGAAGAGCGTTGTTTCGTGTCCGATGACCGGAAACGGCGAGGAGTAGGGCTGGGCACCTGATGGGGGCTGTTGCCTTACCTGGTCTCAGAAATCATTTTACAGATCAGTAAATTAGACCCGTTTTCCCACCTCTTCACTTGCCAAGACGATTCGTAAACCGAACAGCATGTAAGCAATTTACCGTGTCAATTTCCATGGGTCGGTTGTTCTCTTCTGTAGTTAGAAGCAGGTCTCTGTGGTGTGCTGTTCTTACCTGTACCTTGATTTAAAACTGAACTTCAAAGTTGAATGGCCTAGGATGTACATCGCTATTTAACTGTATATATTGCTAGTGCAGTGGAGTGATGTTGAATTATATTAAATCATGATCAATTGATTTAGTTGAGGATTATTTTCACGGACACTTCAGGTAAGACAATGATACTTTCAGTTGTTAGAACGCACACACGAGTTCTTGCAAAAATTCATTGTTTCACACATGAATAAATGACTTGAAAATATCGTTTTTTGTGTTTCGGTTTTGGTGACCACTTCCGTGGTTTTCGTGAGAAAAATTTTGAGTTTGTAATGTTGTTTGAACGTGTTATTAGGATCATGAAGATTAATTACAATATAGTAAAGCCCGAAAGAGTTTCGAGACTAGTGGACTAAAATTATTTTGTAGCTCGGGGCCGAAAATAATTAATGCATAGCAATTTCGTGACTATATGGCCGCCTATTTCAGCCTGCATCCTGGGAAGGTTTAGGAGAAGAATGTGGGGCGATGTTGGGTGAAAAGCATCATTTTTTATCTCCGATAATTTAATATTCTTTCTAACGGATGTAAAAAATTCCAACTAAAATAAACAAATTTTTGTGTATTGTAATCAGTGCACGTTAACTTGTTTGTTGTACGCATACGAAATTTATTCAAATAACTCGCGTGTGGTTATTTTCAGTGAGGATTATTTTTATTGTCTGGTTAATAAGCCGAGTAATTTGTTAAGATTGTGGTGTCCACCCTCGTAAGTCACTGAACTCGATTATCACCTACTCACATTGTCAAGAGTGCTATAACTAACTATAATGGCCCTTAATATATCAGAATAAGAGTTGTCTTTTGTTTGGGAAAAATGCGCCAAAATAAAGAAAGCATCCATTAATTACTTATCGACTTATGTTATATTTCAGGTTTTTAACTTAGTATGGACTGTATTTGTTCGAAAGCGAGAATAATCCACTGCAAAATAATTCTTTTGGATGAACAAGAGTTAATTCACGAGATTGAAGTGAGTATCACCGTTTTGGTCACTGTTACATCATCGTGAGTCACTGACACGTTTGTAGTTTATTTTCAGTAATTTTCAGAAACAATATTGCGTGATAAAATGTTTGGGTGCGGCTTAACAATTAATGCCTAACAGATTTAAGAAAATTTCTCAAAGTAGTAATTTGGTGTCTAGACACACGTAATTATTCCTGCCCTCGATCCCGCTTTGCGGTTGAAAAATATTCAAAACCGTACAGACGTTTTCATGATTATATACCATTGCAGAAAATTATGAATTCGAGTCAAACTCAAGGCGAATCGCGAACAATCAACTTTCGAACATCCACTAATTGATTATTATATTTATCGGTTTAGAGAAATCTTTTTATTCTTCATTGTTTCGCGTCACACTTTCTCATTTATAGGATACTTGCACCGGACAAGCGCTACTCGATGTCGTTTTTCGGAATTTGAATCTGCTAGAAACCGCCTATTTCGGATTGAGATACTTAGACCAAACTGGACAAACTGTAAGTCTTTGCTAATTGCAAAACAACTATTTTATTCTTTTATCCCAATCAGCATTGGCTCGATCCGGCTAAAACTCTAAGCAAACAAATTAAAGGTCCTGATCCTTTCACTTTCTATTTCGGAGTCAAATTTTATGCCGCCGATCCTTGCAAACTTCTCGAAGAAATCACAAGGTAAGTAAATTACTGCCGTTAACTTAATTAAACCATTCATTTTATGCCTGTTATACCCACCAACTATGCCACCAAACTAGACTACTCTCACGAGAAAAACATTCGATATCCCTGTACAATGCAAACCAGAATTCAAACTTTTTATATAAAAAAACTACTTTCTTGAAATGTCCCGAAGTTAGGGAAACTTTTCATTTGTTGAGATTATAAAAGAACAATTATTTGAAATAATATCTGTCACATTTACGCAAAACTGAAATTGTTTTTATTTAGAAAACCAACAGATAATTATTTATTTTAGAAAGATACCTAGATCAATTTTTTTTTCACTGTTTTTACAATTTTGCATTAGGTTCTCATTTGTTAAATTTGG